AAAAACCCTTCAGCCGAAAATCCAGATGAACTTACTTAGATTAAATCATTGGAACTCTACAAGTGAGATTTTCCGGAGACAATTCGCCTACATTTTCATTGACTCATGAAACATGTTTCATTAAAAGAATGGAAGGAAAGTACCTGTAAGTTTCTACAAATTAAAAGCCATGTTCAAAATGTGGAATAAGGTACAGAAAACACCAGATATCACTGAGTTTTTAAAAAATAGCGAAATGTTTTTTCCGACAAGGCTCTTGTGATACTGCTTTTACAACCATGTTCAACTAGCATAAGGGTTAAGTGCCTACCGGGCGCGTCTCCGGGTGGTGGATAGGATAGCCAGAACATTTGGCTAGTGGCAACTATAAGTGGGTTGAGGGGACTTAAAAACCGCCAAAATCCTTTGCGAAAATTGCCACCACAAACTTACTCTCCAAGTTAAGGTGTAACTGCAGCATGCGGAGCTCTGCCGTAGCTGTTTTTTTTTCTAGCTACTCGTGGGACCACATATGTATTCTAGCTTCTAACGTCAACTTCGAAAGGGGTTACGACGAAAGCAACGCCTCTTGCAAAGGCTGAAAATCTAGCAAAGAGGCATAAAGTCATCGTCTCCTCTCTGAAAGAGGTAGACCAAATGCCCGAGGACGAGGTAAACTTGGCCCGGCTATGTGGAAACTTGCCAACGAGGCTAAAGAAGCTCTTAAAAACTGGGATTAATTACACAGCTGTTAAAGGTAATTAGGGAATATTTTCAAAGGATCCAAACAAAGCCACAAAAGCCTCAAAGGCTAGAGTGTCAAGATACCAGGGCAAAAAAGCTGCACGGAAAAAAATGTGACTAGAAAATTTTACTACAATGTTGTAGTAGTAGACTTGTAGAAAAATACTTAACAATTTGTAGAAAATTTTACTACAATTTATAGTTAAAAATTATTAATTATTGTGGCAATTGAATTGTCGAATAAAATGCTACAACAATAGGAAAGAAGTCCACAATGTTTAGTATATTTTACTATTGTTTGTAGAAGTAGAAATTTATTACAATTATCGTAATTACTACTACTAACTTCTGTAAAAATTTGTATAAATATTAATAATTATCTCTACAAAAAATAGTAATTTTCTCTGCAAAAAATAGTAATACTTTACATCCCTTCTTCAAAAATATTCTATAATATTGTAGAAATTCTAAGTCATGTGAACAAAACATAATTCTGCTATTGGCCAACGTTTTCTGACGTCGATCATAAACGGCCAGACAGCAGTAGCCGTTCGCCATGTTCACATAACAAAGCATGGTACATATACGAGTACCTATAACACATAATATTATAAGCATCGATGCGTTTGAGAAAATTTTAACAATAAATTCTATTGGTGGTAAGTACATTTATTATTGTTTCTGAATAATTTACCTTTAGATAACTAATTTAAATAACCTTAGTAGATTATTTTAAAAAAATAGTTGTGGCCAACGATCGAATGTTGTGCCCAACGATCGAATTTTCTGCCAAGTTCAATGTTGTTTTTTGTCTTAATTGTGACATACCTACTCTCTCAGTTTTGTTAGTTATCTGACTTAGTCATTTAATATCCAAATCAGTGTAAAGGTGATAAATATCCCCGTTTTAAGGGTATGAACAGTTCAATTGGTATTCATTTTTATTTCATATTTTTCAGGTGCAGAAAAGCCAACTGAGACTGAGGGCGCTATTATTACTGTTATTTATTACATAATGTAATTAAGACTTTGTATCTGTTATATTAAAACAATAAATTGAATATTTTATTAAGGAACATTTTTTCTAGGTTATAATTATAAAATACTACTACAAATTTTATTAAAAATTACTACAATTTGTATGAATTTTTACTATTTATTGTGTAAAATTTTCGTATTTATTTTCATAAAACGCAATACATTTTTAATATAAATTCATACAACGAATAGCAAAAATTAAAACAATTTGTAGAACAATTCTTATGATGCATTTGGATATTTTTACTACATATTGTAGATAATAACTCTACAATACATTCTCTACAATAATTTGGAAATTTTTACTACAGATTGTCCCTGTCCCTATATGTACTATTTATTGTAGAGAAAAAATCTATAATTGTAGAAATTTGTTCTACAATTTTTTTTCCGTGTGCCAAGCAAAGCACAAACAAAGGCTCTAAGCGCCCAAGGCCAACAAATGCAACACCGCCACAGGTCAGCCGACTGAGGAAGAAGACCAGGACAGACAAAGTCTCCAGAAAGTTCCTTATCTCAGTGAAGATTGCAGTAGTAGTAGCAATAGGGTACTCGGGGATCAAAATGAGTATAGAGAGATTAGGAAAAGTCCAAGACTCGACAGGTGAGGCTCACAAAATGCATCAACAAGTCAGGCTACCTGGTGGTGACTTGCGTTACGGGACATCGTTACAACCATTCAACCGTAGAAAGGGGCAACCCTGTAAGCGTTAAAGGGTTGCGATATCCTAATGCCTGCACAACTTTCGTCCTCGACGAAAGAGGACAAAGGTCCAAAACGGAGAAGGTCCTCAAAAGGCTGAAATTGCCAACTATGGATTAAATACACACCTTTGGACTATGTGGGATAAAACCCCATCGGAAAAAGATTAAACGTGGACTCAATGGATCCTGAATCTATAGAGGAGCTAAAAAGTTGTATATAATAATAATAATAAATAATAATAATAATACTCTCCCTAATTCACCCCCTTACGAGTGAATTTTAACCACAAAAGCTGAGCTTGTGCGGGGAAAGTGACAGCTATTATTATTATTTGCCGTGGCGCTTCGGGGCGACTTAAAGATGATTGATGGTGCCATTTGACTTACAGGTGAGGAAAACCCGGAAAACCTCACCCACCATCATCAAGACGGTAATGCATGGCGATTTTATAATTTTTATGTCATATCAACAGAAATTAAATTTCTATAATTACGGCACACATCAAATCCTATACCGAACCATGCAATATAATTGAAAATCCACATAGTCCGGCGTAGGATTCGAAGCCCGTCTGTCTTTAACCATAAACTTGCCTATAAATAAATATAAGCGCGTCAGACCGCTAGAACACCGAGCCGATGTGTCCCCCTACTATGACCAAGGGAAACTTAAATTTAGAGTCAAAGGAGGACATGGTCAAGAACCTGCCGAAAAGGTCAGTAGCCCAGGAACAAGCAGGGAAGATGACACCTCTATGGAGGAAGAAACCTAAGTGGTGGAGTACGAGGTGGAGTCTTTCCACAGCAAGGAAGAGAACATCAAAGAGTCCTCAGTAGAGGAAGAAACTTTGGTAGAGGACGACGAGGTGGATTCTCCCTACAGTGGTGTCTGTCTCCTCAAGAGGCACGAAGCCCAAGATAAGTCTGAATCAATAGAAATTAGAGAGGCCTCTAAGAAAGCAGACAAACTGCCCAATTTACGGAACTAAGCGGAACAATCAGGGTTCTTTAGGTGAACCTTCAGCCATACCGCTATAGCATGTAGGAGGTATGAAAAAGAGGATCTAGATTTGGCACTTTTGCAAAAACCCTGGTTATATGGTGGGAAGGTAGCAGGCCTTAAATCCAACCAAAGTATAACTAATGGTCAACAGTAGAGTAAATTGTGTACTAATACTGGTCCCGTGCTCCGCTGATATTGTTATAACTCTCCAAACCACCACCCGCACCCCCGTTGCTGTGCCACCGAGTCAGCATGTTGGGGGGTTAAACATTCTTCACAATGCAGTTTTTTGGGTTTCTGTGATCTATAACCCCTCACACGACAAATATCTGGCAAAGCCACTGCATGTTTTTTTGTAATTACAGAGATCGTGACAGAATTTTATTTAAAATTTTAATGTAACAATTATTTGGAGAGCACAGTATATCGTCCTAATACTTATCCAGTTTTCAATGTGTCTCGAATTTTAATTATATTTCATAAGTCTTCAAAAATATCAAAATTCAATCAAGTTACAGATAACAAACTAAAAACTATAATTAGTAGATGTTTATCTCAAATCTAACACCTTTCATTTCAAGAGACGACCAAAAATATATAATTAACGCCAACCTATGAACCGAGATCTTTGTCAAATCGAAATGCCCCGCACACAAATCACTAAATCAGTGTTGTTTAGACACTTCAACATTATATTTGGGGGCGATAATTCAATAATCCCGACGTTGAATAGAATGTAAAGAGGAACGAAATTTTGATGATTTTCGGTATTTTTAGAACGTTGCGTATCCATGCCGGAGCTCAAACCTTGAATCCCCGACACTCTTCACTCAATTATAACGAATGAGTGGTAGCAAGCTTTGAATTAGGGGGGCGTGCTGATACGTCTGTTAATATTTTTTGATAACAAGTCCAGGGCTGGATTTTTTTACCTCACAGCTTCTGAAAATAAATAATATTCAGGTTGGGATGATAGGAGGTAAATAAAAAGTTGAAAATTAAAAAAATTAACTAATTTTCCTTACGTTAATTACCAGAGACCATTAACAAGCACTTTATAATCTGTTCCAGTTAGTGTCATTTTTAATAATCTTATGAGGTTTTCCTGTATTTCTAATTGTTGCATCGCCCTATATATTTTTTCTCATTTTATCTTCTTGTTTAAAATCGATGAAAATCATATATAATGATAAGTTTTGAACTAGACTAGTATCTATTATTTGTTTTAATATAAATACTTGAACGATGACTGATCTATTTTCTCTAAAACCACATTGTTATTGTCCTAGTTTCTGTTCTACGACATTATTTATTCTATTCTTGATTGCTATGGCCATTATTTTATACACAGTGTCTATCAAAGTTATTCCTCTATAATTTGCACAATTAGATATATCTCCTTTTTTATGTACAGGACAAACTAATGATTCTTTCCATCTTATGGGCATATTTTTCTCTTCCCATACTGTCTTTATAAGGTTGTATACGTTGTTTTCTAGTTCATATCCTCCAATTATCAACATTTCTGCCATTATATCATTTCTCCTGGTGCCTTATTATTTTTAACCATCCTTATTATTTCTTTTATCTCATCTATTGATATTGGTTCATCTTGATTGTTTATTCCTAAATTATTTTCAACATACATTTCAGGTACATCATTTTCTTCTATTTCAAAGACTTCGTTAAAGTACTCAGCCCATCTGTTTAAACTATCTTGTATTCCTCCCACTAACTAGCCTTGTTTATCTTTACAGAAGATTATTTTATTCTGTTGACACTTATTTCTATTTCTTTTTATATGTTGGTAAAATTATCTAGTTTGTTTTTTAACATACGTATTTTCTATTTGGTGAATTTATTCTCTTTTCTTTTTTCTGCATATTTATTTAACTTCTTTTTTTCAAATTTTCATAGTCTCTTCCATTTTTGTTTGTATTTTGACATAACATTTTCATTCTTGCTTTTCCTCTTTTTTGAATAATTTCTTTACATTCGTCGTAGAATCAGGACTTCGTTGGTTTGTCTTTCTCTTGACTTAATAGTTGTGTTCCTTTATGCAATATTTTTTCGAACTGTCTCCATTTTTCTTCTATCGTGCTTTCATTTATTTGACTAATATTTCTATTAATCTGTTTCTGGAATTCAGTTTTAATGTCTTCTTCCTTTAGTTTTTCCATTAAATACCTTATTCTATGTTTCACTCTTTTTCTTTCTTTTGGTGGCTTCCTGTATTTTAATTTGGCACGTACTAGTATGTGGTCTGTATCTATATCTGCTCCTCGATAACTTCTTGCATCCAGTATATATTTTAGGTGTTTACTTTCAATGGCTATATGGTCTATTTGGTTGCAGGTTTTTCTATCAGGGGAGATCCATGTTCCTTTATATATTTCTGCATGTTGAAAATAAGTAGTAGCTATTCTTAAGTCCTTTTCTGTTGCAAATTCTATTAGTTTTTTCCCATTTCTATTACTTTCACTATGTTTACTGTGTCCTCCAATAGTCGGTTTATATATTATTATTCCCAATCTTTGCATTGAAATCTCTTATCAATATTTTGACATCGTATCTTGGAATTTTGTTATAAATTTGTTCTATATGTTCTAAAACCCTTCTTTTTCTTTCTCTTCGTTATCTTCTGTAGGGCAGTGAACATTTTTTTTTTTTTTTTTTTTTTGTTAGGTTATTGTTACTAGTCATTACTGACTAACCTAAAATTTTAATCTAAAAATCTTACAAACTAATTACTTATCTAAGAAGTCCCCATTGGGCTGTCTTAATTGTTTCTATAGGAAAGCATCACAAGTTGGCGTGAAGATTTATTACACTGTTTTACACTAGCACTAACATTAACGTTCACTGCACTAGCTCAAATGGCTTCTTCCTTTTGAGCCTTCTGCTGAGTGCAGAGTTGTCCAGTAATTGCAGCGCTTCTCCATACGTGCTCCTGACATTTCAAGTTGCTAAGTATATTTGTTCATGTTTTTAATTATTTCCTTCATTTTCTTTGACAGCTTTATTTGCTCCTCTTATTTTTTCGGAATTTGTTTTTATAGTTGTATTATAATTTTGTATATCTAATACATCATTTATAACTATTTTCTCATTGTCCATGTTGATAGCCGTTGCGGTATTCCATAATAATGTTGTATAGATTTTTCTACATTTATAAGATTAAATTTTCAAATGTTTTAAAAAATAATTAAATTTTAGAAGCTAACAAAGTTAAAAGTATATTTTTGCAATATTAAAAACATTTGTTAATGTCAATAGACATTTTCATCTCATTATTAATACGAAGCGTTGTAATGATATCAATCAACTTATTCTCATAAAAACTCATCTACATACCTTCTTCTAATTCAGTGCGTTTTCTCATAAAAATCACCGGATTATTCGTTCCCTCCAATGAATTTACTCGAAAACATGAAAACGTACGATTGCCTTTCTATATTCATTTTGTTACTGCCTTTTGAATGGTACAGAGAAGCAGATAATGGTGAATCTGGAAATTTTATTAAAAGCTCTGTTACGGCTGCCTTTGAACATAAGCGCACAAACACAAAAGGCTCAAAAATCATGAGTTGGAGCTTTACATGCCATTAAAAAATGTCTACAAAGGAGTAAGCAATACGCCGTCTAAACGCAAATAATATGTTTCATGTGAGAATCGCGAATTCGCTTTAGATTTGAATGCTCCAAAGAAGTTAAGAAGTTTTTCAATTTTTTTTTGTAATATTTTTGTGATTTTTTCTTTCTTATTTCGTTTAAGAAGGTTTATATCACTCGGATATGAAAGACATTTTAAAATTCTTTTTAAAATAGAAGAATGCTGATTGTCGATATTAAAAAATGAATATTAAATACGCAACAACCATTCATCATTATTACAAAAAAAATAGTTCAAAATGAAAACCATAAGAAAGTTGTTAAATGAAATTTATATAATCAATGTTTAAAACAATTTTGGCTTTATTTTCATATAATACTCAGTTGGTGATGGTAAAATTTATACCTCACTGTGTATAATTATTTGGTGTTGTTAAATATTTCTTATCACAGAACTTGTGAATGTATTTATATTAATTTAGTAAATAGCTTTGTTAGTATTTTCATAAAGACCTGCTGCTTCCAAAATTTCTTCTGGAATTTGATTTTCTATGTCTCAGATAATTCAAAATATGAATCCATATTTTTAAATTTGCGAAAACAAGTTTGACATAAATATCAAATTAAAAATCAACGAACTGTCATTTGGCAATAAATCGGAACGAAGTTTCCACAGTAACGAAATCAAAAAACGATCGAAAAAAATGAAAAACAGGGACTAGTAAAAGCTTTTATCGATCCCTAACGTCTATTTTCCGGTCTTTATCTTCGAAACGTTATTTTCTGGACAAAAAATATAAATATAATACAACGTTTCCAGAACAAAATATTAATGGCAATAGTAAACGCCCCTTGGTATGTAAGAAACTCAGACCTTCACAAAGATCAGAGAATGTCTACAGTCGAAGAAGAGAGGAAAACCATCTCAAAAAAACATGAAAACATACTGCATGACCACGTCAATATTGAAGTTCTACTGTTCCTGGACAACCTATTACCTAATGAGAAGGCTCAGAAAAACCAAACCATTTAAATTAGTGCTGTGAAATGTAAAAACAGAGCAAAGTGCTCGTGTGCAGTGGTGGTTACTTCATCAGAATAAAAAGGAGAAGATACCATTGTGTGAACTCTTAGTTTTAAGCCTCTTAACTTTATTTAAGTTTATAATAAAGACAAATTATTGGGGCTGAAATATAGCTAGGTGCCAAGCAAATTAATAAAAAAAAAACTTTTAATGTCGATTAAATTATATGGCAACTGGTTTTGACCCTATACCATCATCAGGACCTAAAAGTGAAAACCTACAAAAACTAACAAATGTTATACAAATACTGGGACAAACATCACAGGCACAAAGATACCTTAATCTAAATTATGGCCACTTCCTAAACCATCGATGGAAGAAGTGATATCAGTGCAAGAATACAAATTGATCTATTAATTATTGTATGTCATAACCAAGCAGACATGGTAATTTTCAGTTCTATTTAATAAGAATACAGTTAACGCAGTTTTGTAAAAACTTTTAACGAATTCCATTTTCCTAGAAATGAAACTATAACACAATATAAAATCCATGATATTTGAAATGCGATTATAAAGTTTGAACTGAAACTGCTTTCGAATTGTACGATTTGAGACTTCAACCATAGTATTGTTACATATTGATCGTTTGGGTACTTCAACAAGTTATTAATTCAGAATACATCATTAAAACTTTTGAAACTTGCCTTGAATATGTTGGTAGCAATACTATACCTGACTGCTTTTGTTAGGGCCCGCCATTGTCGCGTTCCAAACAATACATTGTGCCGCTCACAATTATAATTATGTTTCGGTTTTACTTGCCAGAGTAGTAATTAAAAATGTTATTATTCGCATTTACAATGGAGTTTAAATTTTGTAATGAGAAGTGTTCAGTGTTAGAGTATTGGAAATTTGTGTGTATGGCAGACAAACAAAAATATAGGAATAATGCATAAGTGTAAATAAACCAATTCTGAACGAAAGTCATTTCATGTTCCTATCGATAGTGTCACTTTTCATTGGGTTTAGGAAACATCAGTTTGACAAATTTTTTGGCTAATATGTAGTGTGCTCTTGAGCGCCTGTGATTAAATTTTTTAGTTAGAAATAGGCCTAGGTCAAATAAACAGTAGTAGTAGTAACAAATAATGAATCATACGATTTGATTAATTAATTCCCAGCATGTCACAAGATTATTTTAATAGTTGATCCGGCCAAAGCTGAGATATGATGGAATTCGTGGACAATATGGAATAGGAGATAGGTATGAATATATTGGCAATTACTGTTGCATCAGATTTGTCAGTTTGTAACAGTTTCTTTTCGAAAAGAAGAAACGTTTTATAACCCACAAAATTTGAATCAATTACTCTCAGATAAATTGCTTTATTTTAAGACTTCATTGTATTAAGATTATGAAGTTTTACCAGGAGAAACTCTAACCAATAAGCATAGGTTATTGAGATTAGAAGTTGTAAGAGTAAACAGGAACTGAAACAGGACGCAAAAGCAGATGACGGAACTGTAGTATATTTTATATAATCTAAAGATATATTTTTTATTTATGCAATGTCTTAGTTAGAAGAGGTAATCATAGACACTATATTCTTTGGGGGTAATGTTACGTGAAATTAATTTTAAATTAATTTCAAATTCATTTTTAACAACAACTTCTCTATAACCCCTCGTTACAAAATTAAACGACAACCGCTCGCTTTTCTGGATTTACAAAGTAAGCCTTGTGCGCTTGTGCAGTGTTTCTTCTGCATTTACGCTGAGATAAAACCAACTGGCGTTGCTTTAACGAGTCCCTTTTATTTATCGAACTCAAAACTCAATGTGCTAGTGTTGTGTCGACAAATATACTAATTTGCAGTTATTATGAGTAGATTTAGATAATTATCGTGTGTCTTTCGTATGTGCTTATGTGCTACCGTTGGGGTAATTGTCAGGTAATGTTTTTTCAACTAAGATTTTAACGCTTTGCTGGATTTAGTTGGTAAGCCGAAAGGTCGGCCATTTGCTTTTTTTATAACCACCATGCCGACGAATGCCGGTTATTATTGTTTTATTTTATTTTATATAGATTATAGCTACCCTACCTAATAATATTTTTAAGCTTTCTTTGATATATACGCGGGGTGGCAATTAAATAATTGAATTACAAGTCAGTATGGAAATACAGTTTAAACGGAAATCTATGGCTCTTAACTTATTTTGGCCTTATAAATAGTTTATATTTTGTTCAAAGGATTTAAAACTTATTATTATAACTTATTTTGGCCTTATAAATATTTTATATTCCGTTCAGATGATGTAACTTTAATATTTGTCCTGTTTATGCATAAGTCCGTTACATTTCCAAACTGGGCTGTAAATGTATTATTTCTGTTACTGAGGTTCTTTTTATTTCTAAACCTGTAGTGACTCCAAACTCCAACTTACGTAGCTTCTCCAAGCACCAATTTCCAAGCTCCAAGTTTCGTAGCTTATCCAAACTCCAAGCTCCCAAGTAATTTTCGATGAAGCTCTCAAGTAATTTTTGACGAAGCTCCATGGATGTTTACTGCCCTCCGCTTCGCGTCGGGCAGAAAACTTCATCCTGTGGGAGGAAAAGTGGCACTCTTCTCCCTAGTAATACAAATAGCTATTAAATAAACAATAAATTATTCTTAAATGTTCATTCAGCAAGGACTAGATTTCAAGATTTCTTGCTTTGATTATAATATGTGGCTGAAATGCAATTTTGTGACTTACTGATGGGAAACCAGTTTTAATCATTCATTCTATGTTTTCTTTCGAACAAAAATGAAAATATAAATAACAATCCTTTTTTATACATTTTAACTTCACGCTATTATTAAACGGTATTTTTTTATTTTGACAAATAGGCTAATTCTTC